ATACTAAAAAGAAGAAAAACTGCTTATCTGGGTCATATAATTTGAAATTCCAAGTACCAGTTCTTAAATCTTATTATGGAAGGGAAGATAGAAGAAAAACGGGACATCGAAAAAAAATACTCATGGCTTAAAAATATAAGGGATTTGACAAACCTCGATGCCCATGCACTCTTTAGAGCCACACAAGATCGAGAGGAGTATGCCAGAATTGTCGCCAACATCCACTAATTGGATAGGGCACCACAAGAAGAAAAAGGAGTGTGTTGTACAAACAATTGTACAGTATATGATGGTGTTTCAGGTACTGTACAAGTAGTTGTAGAAATTCAAAATATATTGGAATTAATCGTGCAACAGGATATGCAATAGTTCCAGTTTGTTTTGAGCAGATATCGCCGGTTCAAACTTTAAACCTTTAGAAGCAAGCTAGATGCAAGATATATAAAAGTATCAAACAACTTTTGCTTTAACGATATTGTTTTTCGTAACAATCTCGGTGTTACTATACCCCATAATAATTAAAAAACTATATAGGGCCCATTTGTAAATAATGTTTATAGTTTAATCGTGAAATGACGTGAAGTCCTTGAGTAGATTTGAATGATGAAAGATATATCTTTCGATCAGGCTTTCAATCGTGTTCAACACGTAAAAGTTTTGGACAATCTTAAGGAGGTTGACTTTGATAATAGTGATTTAAAATTAATTGCCAACTGGTATCGGAACCATACCATATAATCAATGCGGTAGTTCGTCATAGCGAAATATTCAGTTTACATCTAAATGTGCCCAGAACTAAAATTCTGGTATTTTTAAAGATATCAACAAGCGTACATTTGTACGCCAAGGGACAACTAATAAAACAGGTAACTTCCATAAAATATTTGGGGGCAAATATCAACAGCCAGTGTAACATAAAAAAGAAATTCTGTCAAGAATCGAACAAGCGAAGAAAACACTCATGAATATGAAAACATTTTTTACAAGATCAGACCTTAGTCTGGAGCTCAGAATTCGAATGATCAGATGTTACGTTTTCTGTTTTGCTGTATGGCTGTGAAAGTTGGAATGGACTCTGAAACAGAAAAAAGAATAGATGTCTTTGAAATGTACATATACACACGGATGCTGAGAATTCCATGGATACAAAAAGTTACCAATGGCGAGATACTTGAATGACTCCAAATCATATTGGAAGGTAAAGTGCAGGGCAAAAGGTCAGTTGGAAGACGCCGGAAATCATGGCTGAAAGACCTAAGGAGATCGTTTGACCGCTCATCCAGAGGAATCTTTCGTGCAGCAGTATCCAAAGCTACAATTGCCATTTGGATAGCCAACCATCACAAGGAAACGGCGCAACAAGAAGAAGGATTGGAACCAGACTGCCCAAATGAAAGTTGATGACCAGTTATCTGAAGAGGTCAGAATTAGAAGAGATTTTTGTCAGGGTTGCATACTGTTTCCGCTGTTATTCAACGTTTATAGCAAAAAATTATATAGAATGTATGAGTATAACTGCGAAGGTATGACGATAGATGGTATAAAAATAAACAACTTAAGGTATGCCGATGATATCATTGTAATTGCAGACACTCTGGAGGGTTTAAAAGAGTTGCTCGATAGTATTGTATGCAAAAGTTCTGATTTCGGGCTAACCTGAATGAAGGAAAAACAAAGTGGGTGGTGGTCTCAAAAACAAATATCAGGGGCATATTGGAAGTAAATAATCAATAGGTAGAGTTTAATCAAAAACTGGGATAATATGAAAGAGGTTCGAGCAAAAATTGAACAGGCCAGGACATCTTTTAACAAAATGGGACCAGATTTATGTAGTCGCGATCTTAGCACGATGCTACGAACTTGGTAGAGAGTTCTGGGCTGCTGTGTATTTAGTATTTTATATTATAACGTGAAAACTTGAACACTAACATTACCAACTGGTAATGGGCGACATCAGGATCATTTTTAAGAAGCGCATCTGTTTTTCAAGAAGGTGCATTTGCAACTACAGATACTTTCTTCTTCTTAGAGTGCCATATCCCTACGGAACGTCGGCGACTACCATGCTTATAATATTGTTATACTGATCTCGGTCTTGCGCTACGTGTAGCAATTGGTCCGCTGTCAAACCTGTCCACTGCCGCAAATTCCTCAACCAAGAGAGTTTCTTCCGTCCTATCCCTTTCTTTCCTTCGATTTTACCGTTGAGAATTAGCCGAAGGAACTCATATCTTGGTCCTCTGATTATATGTCCAAGATATTCCAGTTTACGCCTCTTAATAATATTTAATAGAGTTCGTTGATGTCCCATTCTTCGAAGAACTTGTTCGTTTCTGGTTCTGCTAGTTCATGGAATTTTTAGTATCCTTCGATACAACCACATCTCAAACGCCTCGATTTTATTCATGATATCGGCGTTTAAAGTCCAAGTTTCACATCCATACAAAAGTACAGACCACACGTAACATCTTGTAAACTTTTCACGGATTTCCAAATTTAATGAGTTATTGGATAATAGAGGCTTTGAATTTTTGAAATGAGTTTCTTGCCTGTTAGATACTTTTAAGATAGATTAAGACAGATACTATTAACCAGTATAAAATATAGATCTATACATGTATAGCTCTGTATGTACTTTCTTTCTGGACAGTGGGATACAATCGCATTACTTGCATCCCGCTGCCGGAACCATGCGGAGTAGTAGCCTTTGAGATGTGGTGCTACAGTAGCATGCTCATAACATCATGGATAGATTGAGTTGATTGGATAAGAAATACGAAGTTTTAGTTACTATAAAAAACGCAAGCTTGAATATTTTGACCACATCTTAAGAAATGACAATTGTGAACTATTAAAATTAATAATTGAAGGAAAAATCGTAGGAAATATAGCTCAGATCGTAAGCGTACTTCTTGATTAAAGAAACTTAGACGATGGTCTAAAGTCAGCACAACGATCCTCTTTAGAAACGTTATAGACAAAGTATAGATTGCGCTAACATTCATTGTGAACATGGTCTTGAAAAAGAAGAAACATTTATCTTTTTTTGTACCATTCTTTCATCCAAGTCCTCTTTTTCCTTTTTTAATATCAACCTCTGAAGTAGTCACAATCTTACAGGACCAGATATAAACAATCTGCGTATGTCAAAAAAAAATTGTAGTTCACGTAAAAATGCATAATGTATAGGTGACCATTATGTACAACTATTTGTTTTGCAACGTAAATTGATCACAGATATATGAGATCAAGAAATTTGCTTCTAGTTGTCTGAAAAACACCAGTTGGTATGAAGAATCATTTTTGTTCAATTTTTCGTATCAAAGCATGCGTGTATCTACCTTTTTATGTGGGAAATTTGAAAAACATAGAAGGTATAAGAGAAATAAATGTCAATTCACGTTCATGTATCAAAGGATGACTTAGTCTTCCTCACAAAGAGAAATACTCCTAGAGAATCCTTAATATAAATTATGAGAAACTCTCGGAAAATTAACAATTAACAATTGCAAAGAAGTTATATATTGAAAAATAGTTACCAAAACAGCATTCAACAATAGATATAATGTAATATACAATGTGAATGCTAAATAGTGGACATACGAAACAAAAAGCAACAAACCTGTCATAACAATCAACTTTAACCAACCAGAAATCTACGTATGGACATTATAGGAGTCTGGATCAATAAAAATTTTTCTAAGTTTGAAAACTCTTAAACCACTCCTAGCATCCTTATTCTACTCAACCATTCACATGCAGGAATATATAGCTACCAGAGACAGTAAAAAGGTTTTATAATACCCAAGTTATACCTATTTTATGCATTTTTATAGTTGAAATAAACTTGATATTAAGATTTAGAATGTTACTTAATATAAGTAACAAAATGAGGCAAAATATACAATAACTATTTATATAAAAGAAAATATTTCGAGAAAACTGCCAATATAATATTTGAAAGATATTTATGTTTCATATTTTCTTCTGATGAATTTAGATTTTTTGGCAAGATAATCAGGCAAAAAATTATATTTTTCAAGATTCCAATGCGGAAAATACTAGTTACAGTTTATTTTAAAGCATATCGTCTTGCTTCTACCTTCTTTAAACGGTTTATGTTTTTAATCCAACGTCACGAGATAAACATATATTAAAATCCTATTAAACTTTGACACAATATCAATATTCTAGGTATTTTATGATGCTGTCATCGCCAGTCAACAGCTAGTCCTCTCTCTGTGTACCGCACTCCCTCCAACAACCTACCACTACCGTCGATGCCCGCTGGAGATGGAATACCAGCAAATGTACAAAATGCCGCAAAGAATGACAAGAACTAAGTTCATTAAGCTAACAGGAATATAGTGACAATGCGCTGTCCTGAATTTTACATTCGGTTAGGAAACCATGTTGGGGTTCAATTACCCAGGACCACCACATGAAGAGCATTTGGCTGATAGTTGTGCCTCTATCGCGCATCAGAGTGCTATAGGTGGGAAATGGATGGTCTGGAGCATTGGAGCGCGGTGGGGTGACTACTGTTTTTATTCGAATTAACACACCTCGCTCCAATGAATTGTTACACCCAAACGTAATTCTTAGGAGTGAACATTTCTCACAGGCTGGGTTTAATTATATTGCTTGCTTGAAGAACTAATTTCAATCTAGATTATTCATCTAGCATGAACTCGCTCTTTTCTATCTCTGTGATCAAGTATTAATAGATCGCTTCCATTCCGCACCTCGTCTGGGCCTATCGAGTATTGATCGGCCGTTCCTCGGTCTTTGGATATTGACTAAAGATCTTCCTTCGACTTACCCATCCATTGTGTGTCAAATAAATCTACCCGTCACAAGAGCGAAAAACCAAAACGATATATTTTGAGACTCACCTTACTCTTAGACATTTCATGAAGTTTTAATCAATTTTAAGACTTTCAAAAATGTCCAAATGAATGATTTTTATAAAACTTTTAAAACCAAATCATTTTACTGATCTTTATTCGTTATATATTGGGAGTTTTCTCGTAGTACGTATTATTAGCACAAAAATAAACAAAAATATATCTATAACAACTATATACACATATAGCTACAAACAGAGACGTTTTTTAAACTACATGTACTTCGGGGTTGTAGAGTTATTGTCCCTTGGAGTTGTTTTCTTCTATGTACACGTTTCCTCTGGGTATGGTTCCTATTTTGTCGCCTTCTTTTCTTTCTGGAAAGAATAATAGAAATTTTAACAAAAATATATAAATTTATGGTGATTTTAAAGTGAAGTACTTGTAATATTAATTATATACATAATGAAATCTTGTAGCGTTCTATTTTTCTAAAGCTTAAAACTTTTTACGGTATTATACCGAGCCACGCCATTTTTCCAGTTCCCATATCACATTAACCCTGTGTGTGTCTGGACTATTTAGAAAAATGCGTAATATTGCCTATGACTACGCCTTATTTTCTAGTTTTTCCCTCTAATTAATTTTGTTTGCGTATAAGTATGTTAAAAGTGTGTGAAATCAACCCGCATTATAAACTCAGCCGCATTCCTTTTTTCAAGCACCCATTAAAAATGTCTGTATTACCCTAATTAGTTTGCCAATCGGTTATAAAAAACAAACCCCCGATTTGATCTTATTTCAATGGTATATATGTAGAACAATTAAGCAACCGGCAAATGATGTCCACGAACCAGAGGGAACCTGTATCACTAAAAGAAAGAATACTGCAATAACAAAGAACACGAGATAGGGTGTGATATGATGTGTGCATCAAAGAAAAAGCGGATCATTAAAAACCAGATTGCGCGTGAGTTTCAATTATTAAAGAGGCAAAATGAAACTATACAAAATTTTATAAGATCCTAAATAACACAAATTTCTACATTGGAAAGCATTCGAATGTATAAAAGAACAGCCGCCGCAATAAAAAAGAGAGTTTTGTCGGAGTATTGGTCTGACAACAACTCCACTGGTTCTAGGGGATTGACTGAAGGCCAACCGCTTGTACTAGAGTATTGATCTAGTAGCAGTTCCGTACCTGGTCTTGAAGTATTGATTTGAGATATACCTATTCTCTTCTGTGTCCAAGTACTGATTGGATACCGTCCGTTCTTCGCCGGGCCGAGTGTTGATTGGCCCGTTCCATCTTTGTTCTCTTGATCCGTTCTTTCCCGTCTGTACGTACTAACGCACCGTAATTGCTGTTTAGATTTTATGTCATTAATTGTATTTTTTTTTTAATTTGTATTGTATGTTACCTAGAACCTAATTTTAGTTTGTTATTTATTTATTTCAAATATATTTTTATTTAATTTAAACCTGTCTTTTAATGTACTGCTGTCTAAAACAGCTACCCGTCATAAAGTGAGAGACGTAATCAAACGCTTTATAAATAACAAGTACCCAGGAGTCCAATACATCTCCCCAGAGCTCATCAAACATGAAGGTAACACCATTATACATTAAATTTACAACAAAAATGTCAACATTTGGGGAGAGGAACAAATGCTAGAGAAATGGTAAACTGAAACCATATGTCGACTGCACAAAATAGGAGATTTGTTGGAATCTAAAAATTAGAAAAGTGTTAAGTGTGAGCGCCCACCAAACTTGCGTGGCAAGTGGCAAGTAGCACGCATTTCAGCATCATCATCATCATCATCATCATCATTCCTCAACCTCTTGCATCCACTGTTGGATATAGGTTTCCTCCATGTTCTTCCACTGTTCGACGACCACTGACCACTGACGACGGAGTATCAGCGGTATACCTGTAACATCCGGAATTAAGGAAATGTAATTCCATTACCAAACTCACCAACACGTTTTGGCAAGCGTGGTGTTTTAATCGCCAAAAAAAACCCTCAATGAAATGTCAAGGTTCAAAACTAGAATACCCCAGGCAAGTAGAACGAATCGTTCAGAATCTTCCAACACAGTTCCACAGTCGGATGACCGACTGTGGAAAGTACGCCCCCTTTTCAATACCATAAGAAAAAGATGCAGGCAGTTGGAACCGGAGGAGGTATATAGTATCGATGAACAAATGGTTCCTTTTAAGGGTGCTGTGAATATTAAACAATACATTAAAAATAAGCCGACGAGATGGGGTATAAAATTATTCCTATTATGTGGGATAAGTGGAACAATATATGATTTCATCGTCTACCAAGGTGCAAATATAGAACTGAAGGCAGAGTATATGTTGTTTGACCAGTCTTCGGCTGTAGTAATGCACCTATCCGAGCAAATACCTCCAGGAGCGCAACTTTATTTTGACAATCATTTCAGTTCTTATTGGTTATTTCAATGGTTGTCAAAGAAACCAATATATGCCGCTGGTACAATTCGGTTGGACTGCTTTTCTAAACCACCTTTTACTATGTGCCAAGAGAATAAAAAGAAACTTACCAGGGGTTTCGTCGAGAACGTTATCTGCAGAAAATCTGGTGTTGTGCTAACCAAGTGGATTGATAGCTGGGTTCCAATTTCGTTGGAGTAAGTTCTTCTGATGTATGTCGAAGATGGGATAAGAAGATAAAAGAGTATATTGAAGTGACACGCCCCAAAGTAGTTTCTCTTTAAAACAATGGGATGGGAGGTGTTGACAAGTGCGATTTTCTTATTTCTTTGTACAGATCGTTTATCAGAACAAAGAAATGGACTGTTCGATTAATGTCACATGCTGTTGACATGGCTGTCACCAACAGCTGGTTGGAATATAGAAAGCAATCGGAGGAGCTGAAAATACCGCAAAAAAATGTCATGGACCTTATACATTTTCGACAACACGTTGCTGAGGCGCTTATTTTGGCAGGAAAAATACCCAGCAAAAAAAGGGGGAGACCAGTTTCAAATAATCCTCTACATCCTCAAGGTAGTTCTCCTGTAGGTAACGCAGCAGGTCCTTCTGGTAAACAAGTGCGTCCGATTGAAGATATTCGTTATGATAACTTTGGCCATTTACTGACTTTCTGTGGCAAAATCGCTCGTTGTAAAGGAAGCAACTGTGGATCAAGAACGTATATTCGTTGCACAAAATGTCAAGTATCATTATGTATTGCTCGAAATCAAAACTGTTTTACAGATTTTCATACCAAATAAATAGTTTTTGTCAATTACAGTCTTATAAATAAAAATCATTTCATATTGATATGTGCCTGTTAATCATTGTGTACACTGCAGTGTACATGACGTAACTTCAGAATGTCAAATTTGACAAATTTCCTGAGGAGCTTAAAAATTGTAGAAAAATATTTCTAATAATCGCTAAAACTTAAAAAAAATTATATATCGTTTTAAAAAATTCGTGTCGGAAAGGTTTAACGAACAAAATTTCAACAAGCGAATGACACATCTAAAGAAGTAAAACGAAATTTTACGAAGAAGGAGAAGTAAAACGAAAATAAGTTTAAGCCAATTGACAAAAAAAGAGAACAAACAGAGAAATTACCAAATGCATCATTGCCACAATCATGTAAACTAAAGTATCAAAGAAGATACATACAATATTTATTTACTTATAAATGAGAACATATAATATGAGACCGTTGAAATAATACATAAACTATATAAACACAACGTCACAAATTCCTAAACACATAATAAAAACATTCTAAAGCGGTTTTCCATAAAATAGGGATAATTAAACGCAAGTGATTTTAATGCTTTTAGACGACTGAATCGAACTGAAAATAAATGGAACCAATGATTTTATTTTCGCCATGGCGACACTAAAATTAAACAGGCGACACTTCAAAAATAAGTTCTTCAACATCATCGTCTAAAAATGCAGTTCTCACGTAAATCAACGAGTCGTATAGGCCAGTCTATGCATTTGAGATGCAGTTTTTTTTTTCGTATTAAATTTTCGTATTTATTTACAGCACAGCACAATGTATTAAAACTAAGAAAAAAATCGCGTTTTTGTATGTTTCACCTTTTATATTATAAATATTTACAGTCAAAAGAAGAATGCAAGAGTCAATGCGTATTTAAATTTATTGGAAGAGTATTTCTTGCAGTAGGGTCAGTAGGAATTTTGGTTTGCACAGAACATGAATTCGAGCGGATGCTGGGTAAAATACTTTGGTTGTAGGTAAAGAAACAATAAATAAGACTTACTCACAATCAATTTAATTTAACTATCAGACGACCGGTTTCGCTTTCTACAATATGCAAAGCATCTTCAGATCTCGATACAAAGTTAAATAAATGATGCCGCTACTCTATTAATTGATGGGTGGTAAAACATGGTTGAAACTATTATGTATTGTTGAACGGAGAACTTAATTTTGCTATTGTAGTTGTTTGACAGTAAACGGGAAGTTCTTGAGGAGATAGATTTGATCCAATGAAGTAGAGATATGTGTGTGATTGTTTGTTAAATGAAAGTGATGTTATATACCATTGTAATATTTAAAAGTTATTTATACTTATTCGAGAGATATATTTATGAAATGTGTGTTATTTATTGAGTATTTGTTTTATGAAGGTGACTGTTTTATGACAATGAATAAGCTTAGATGTACAAATTGTGTGGGTGTGCAATTTTTTCAACTTGTAATTATCAGATTTCTTTGATAAAATCATATTGGCAAAATAGAAGATTATTGCAAAGTCGAGTGTATCTAGTTGTAGTAGTTGTTTTTTAAATTTTAATGTTATTTTGTATGAATGGAATTTATTTTTACGTAAAATTTTCATTAAGAATTCTTGCGAAATTCCAAGTTTCCTGGTATGGATATTTGTTTTAGAATCCACACAAACATCCAAATATTTGTTTTCATTTAATGTATTTTTGTGCGCCCTGAACCGGTTTTACTGAACCAGTTTCGTTAACCTTTTTTTAATTTACTGACAGTAGATGATATATATATATATATATATATATATATATATATATATATATATATATATATATATATATATATATATATATATAGAGAGAGAGAGAGAGAGAGAGATTTCAGTTAGGATATAAATTATTAAAAATATCGTTTCATGTTGATTTCTACGCATATCATCATCTCCTAATATCATTAAAATCTCAATTCGTTCTTTTTTAGATATACGATCCATTTTACTTTTAAATAAGTACCAACAATACTACTTTATTAAAACGTCAAAGGTTCTAAATGTGTTATTTTGACTTCGGCGAAGATAATGTAAATGTAGTAATAACTCCGAAATTATGGCATTTAGGTATAGGAAA